ACCAGAGTGCTCCAGGCACGATCGCATGGACAAGCCTGCAGCAGAGAACACATGCACATACAGCTAAAGTGGCACATTACCCCAACGCCCTTCACTCCACCCAACAAACATTCCTTCCCAGAGAGGGGTGGGCTATGGTCAAGCCATGGTTCCAGGGACTAGAAATCTGTATAGGCTTCATGCTATAAATCCCAACATTTAAGACCAGCAAGACAAGGACACTTTGAATATGTCAAAATTAGACACAGTAGTCTCTGGTTTATTTAGTTATCAAAGAAGGCACCAAAGCAGGTATGGAAGGACTATGGGTAGTAATTTGGCAACTGTGTTTAGAGAATACTAGCTAAGAAACACTAGGTTAGAGCAAATGGGAACACACAGTGTGCGTGGGGGGGAGGTTTACTTCTGAGAGGGAAGTTCTAACTACCTTGGAAATAGATATAATTACACCATACTCAAACAACAGGGGGATTTTTTTAAAGCAGAGTTAACCAAACAACTTGAACTCATCATGACCCTAATGCAAGGTGGAAAACAAAGGCAGTTCACAGCCCTCAGTTATCAGGGCTTGGCTCTCCATCAAGGAGCCTCAGTGGTCATGTCACTGCAGTGTGACATTAGTTCTGCACGGAAATATTTTTAAGTCATTGATTTCTCAGCAGCTAATAGTTAACTATTCCTTATTCTGCGGTGGTTTACTTTTTTAATTACACTGGAGTTAAGAGAAAATAAAGATGAGGACATGTTGTTTCTTGGATTCAGAAAGGACAGTGTCCCCAAATTTTACTCTTTTGAATTGTTAATTCATATCTGCGTTGTGCCTTGATGCCTTATTTAATTGGTTAGTACTCAAACAAGCAGTAATATTAGCCTATTACTCAAAAAACAAAAATGTTCTTGCAGACAACACTCGAGAGGCCTTTGGTGTGTTATAGACGCTCATGCCTGAGAAGCTGTCCGTAACAGTAACAGTGAGGCCGAGCACTCCACTCATGCACAGAGAACCTGGCTCAACAAAGAGCCACTGTTCTGACAGAGAAGGGACAAGGCACTCCTCCAAGATTTCCGCCAACTGGCACAGGTTACATTGAATGAACAATACGTACTGACATTTGTGTCTTCCACAATTCCTGATAAATAAGCAAACTGGTTATGTGTAATCAGCCAGACTTGCTGCTCTGAAAGGTTGCTACTGGACGCTGCGCAGCTCATGTTCCTTCCCAGTACCAGAAAGGAAAAAAATCGAGTTACACTCACAGCTAGTTTTACCTTCCCCAACAGCAAAGGCTTAACTTACTTCTCGAAACTTCTATTCAACTGTCCTACTTTAGTTCACAGTAATTTTACAGCTGAATTTGGTTTTCATCATCTATCCAACTAAGGAAAATAGCCTCCTCCCCCATTAAAATTAAAGCTTGTATGCTATGTAAAACAGACACTAAATTATACTGACATGTATTAAGATCAACCCATTGTATTTTTATGTATAATAATTCCCCACAAATAGCTGTGTGTGTCTTACCATGTTCATAGTTTCAAAAGGACCCATTCTCATCCTTGTTAAACACAAGACTTTCCATTAGCTCCTAAAACTAACACAAGTCCTAAACAAAACCTTGCTTGTCTCCTCTTATACAGAATTAAGGAAGAGGAGAGTCAGATGTTTGGGGGATACAAATTGTGGGCCTTACCCAACTTAACTTTCTGGTACTTAACCTCAGAGAACTGAACTAGAGAGCAGTTCTTTCACTGTCACTATGGAAATAAAGGAAATGATAAATCTCGTAATACCAACCAACAGAAAAAAATGTGAGAAAATAGAGAAGCACTGTTATTTAAAACCAAGTCACTTGTCAATCAGCTGCTGACCAAAGAACATGAGGAGTAAAATTTCCACTTAGTACTAGATTCTCACAGAGGTAAAAAGTTCAAAAGCTTAAAACAAAGGGGAAAGAAGGGTCATACGAAGCTAAATGGTCTATCATATAATTAAGCAAAACAGCAAAATATTGTGAGAAAATACATGGGCCTATCATTACACTGAGTAGTCTTCAGGGAAAGGGGGCAGAACCCGGCAGAGCTCTCCTGGCATTTATGCAGCTGACTGAGGAGACAGCAGCTATGTCTGGACACACACACGTGTAGAGCACACGTGTGTGCTTTCCTATTAGGCAGACAGAGAAAAGGAAAGCAAAAAGTTTGAGTCTGACTATATTTTATTGTCTTTAGCCCACAGCCTTATTAAAATAATGGGTTTTATTACTGGGTGCTCTACACTCACTCAGTCATATCTCTTAATGCAAATCCTGACATTTTACTATCAATTGAAGCAAATTTCTTTGTTGTGATAAAAATGAAGGCCTCGTTGTAGATCATAAACATCACCTTCTGTAACAGGCCAGATTCCTCACCAAAAGTTGAACATGAATCAGCTACATGATGGTGCCCGTGCCTGCGCATGGGGTAATAACAGGGATTGTAAAACTTTTGAGAAGGAAATAAAATGCAAGATAAAATCCCCGGCCCAGGGTTGGACTCAATGTTTTCTGTGTGCTCCCTAGTCTACTCTCTACTCCTCTCTCCTACCATGGCCATGTTCTAGAGCCCGAGTTTGGTTCGTCTCTTTGTGTTGTCAACAGCACCCCTGATTACCATCAGTCTATCTACACTGCCCATTAATAACTAACATGCTTGGTTGGCAGCAAGTGTCCTTGCTAGGCCCTGTAGAATTTGAGAACTGAAAATATTTCAATTTGAAGCTGTAGACCTCATGGTTCTATCAAGTTTAAACTTTATCCACAAAGGTGTACTTAAACTAAAGTTAGCTAAACCAACTGGCTGATGATATTGAAAATACAGATTCCCACCTATGAAGCAAGAAAACTGAGTGTGCCATCTAACAGGTCAGCGATGAGATGCTGAACTTGTGCTTCTCGTGTACTGAGCTCCTTCTACCCAGATGCTTGCAAGCATGGCCTCCACCTTCCACCAGGGGGCGCAGCTTCAGGAATGGAAGATAACTTAACTTTGCCTAATAAAAACACAACTGATAGCTGAATGAGAGTCCCTCCCTCCATTAGAATGGTCTGTAAAACAAACTATTTTATTAGTTGGATAAGAGTTAATTTCTTTTTAAGTGGCTTCAATTATTCTGCTACTTATTTTTCTGAGTTATCTAAGTCAGTTTTTTTTTTCCTTAAAAATAAATAAGGGTATAGAGGGATTTTTTTCTTTATTCATTTATTCATACGTGCATACACTGTTTGGGTCATTTCTTCCCCATGCCCCCGCCCCCATTCCTCTCCCGCCCGGGTATAGAGTTTTGTTTAAACAAATTTTCTTTCCAGTCACTTCTATCATACTTAACTAGTGTGGGGTAAATATTCTAGACTGCTAAAATTCCAAAAAGGATGAAAGATTAGCAGCTGAGAGTGAACACAGCAGGGGAAAGGCTTTTCCGAACTCTCTGATCGTGGCTGAGCACATTCTGGAGCTGGGTCCTCCAATACAGGAACTGCCAACTACATGAGACTATTTCAATTGATTAAAATTAAATTAAATTTAAAATTCAGCTCATCAGTCCACTTGCACATTTCAAATGTTGGACAGTCACATATGGCTAACTGGTGACAAGTGGGCTGGACAAAAGAAGAACATTTCATGACTTCATCATGGCAGCACTGAGCTGCAGCACAGAACTTTTACTCTTAGTTTAGTCTGTCTAATATGAGGAAGAGCACATTGCATACATTTTAAAAACTTCTATTTAAGTTATAAGCCTCATGGAGCAAATGGAAACATGCAACTTCAGCAGCTATTTATCAAAGTATTTTAAAAGTACTACTTAAATACAGTACAAACAGAAATGGGATTTAATTGTTTCCTCAAAGGAAAAAGGACAGAAAGAGTAACTTCATTAAAAGTGCCAAAAGGCATCAATGATTCCAGACTGAGCTGTCAAACAGCATTTTGATTAAATTAAAAGAACAAACTGCACAGTAAACATAAGAATCTTCCTGCTTGTGTGTTTTCAGCAGACAGCCAGCATTTTAAGCTAGCTTTCGCTGTGGTCCTAGCTGTGCTCCAGCTCTATGTGCTAACTATAAAGTGAGCTCAGAGGCCCACAGCAACATGCAATGCATGTGGAAGGGCTACGCTCCTCCAAACACACCAACTCTTGCCCAGTGCTTTCAGATCTTAGCCACTTTCACAGCTTGATGATAGTCAAGGAAAAATTATCCCAAAGGATTCACTGACAATTTTTTAAATGAATTAATAACTAGATTGTCAACTTTAATTTTTCTAAACATATCAAATATAAATGTGGACATAACCTGCTTTTTAGGATGAGCTGAAATATATTTGTCTTTTAAAAAATTTAGTCAGAAAACTATTCTGCTCTATTTTATAGAGATAAAAATAGACCTTTCAAAGATCAAAATTGGTATCAAAATTCTACCACAGAAATCTGTGACCCTAACCCCTCTGTCGTCAGTGAGATGGCAAAGATGGTGAACCTTACGAGTCCAAAGGCTTAAGGGAATCTCAAGAGTAGGTAACAAATTCAGTTGCACTGAGGTCATACTTCATTAACTGGAACTATTCGCTAAAATATTTTTTAATTACTTTGAATTGACACATAATTGTACATAAATTTTTAGTTATGCTATAAAACAGTATCTTGTTCACACTAGAATTTTACAATCTAAGCCTGAGTTGAAAAGTTCGGTCTAGAAAACCTAAGAACCACGAGGCACTAATAAAGCTGAACAATCACTCTAGCCTCTCCAGATATAAAACTGAGAATGCTGCCCTAGTTTCCTAATAAATGTTAGCTAAAAGTAAGAATTCACTTACAATGCAAATAAGAAGCCAAGTTGTACAGGCCAATTCAAATGAAAGCAATATATTTAATTTCTTTAGTGCACCGCTTTCCAGATACTTGGGAAAGAGGATTGAAAATGCCAACAGCCCCACCTCCCGGGCGGCCATGAACTCACCATCTTCAGAATGGCTCCATACAGCCTCAGGAGGACTTTCCGAGGTTCATCGCCAACACTGGCTATGGTGTCAGGCAAGGAGCACTGGAACAACATGTTACTGAGGCCACCTCTGGAAAAGATCAGAGGACGCTAAGTATTAAGAATGAATGAAATCGCTCAGGAACTGCTCTCATCTCAAGCCTTGACAGATTCTTTCAGGATATCTAGAACATGAATGATGGGCTCTATGATTTTCAGATTAATTCCACAAGTCACATTAAAAACAAATTCCCAATGTGTTTTTCTACAGTAGAGGTGGGAGAGTTTTTTTTTTTTTTTTTTTTTTAAACTTGCCTATGTATACCTAGAGAATGACAATGACCAAGAGGAACCTCCTCAGCACTAGGAGCGGAACATCCTGAAATGTTCCTGCAAGCTCATGTTCTAGAATCCAAGATTTCCATTATATTCCCACATATTATATATATTTCCATTATAATCCTGTAACAAAATATTGGGGCAATCTTAAACCTTCTACTCCAGGAATCTCCATTTGACATGTGATCCCAACCCCTTCTGTGCCAGTGACAGTCAAATTACTTAACCACTTTTGACTAACAACCTTTTAAAAATATGCAGCACAAACTGTTATTGGGGCTTGGCCTCAATACCCTAGAGTCAGATTCAATTCTGACTACCAAGGCCAAAAAGCAAGTGACACAGTCCTTTAAGCAGGACAGTAACAGTCTGGATAGAAATGACTAGGGACAGAGGAAGTTCGTGGGGTGAATGGAAAAGGGAAAATGCCGCACCAGGAGGAATGACAGAAGAGGCACGCCAACTGTAGTAGATCTCAGAGAACCTAATCCTACCATTTGTTGTAGTTTTGATGTTTTGACACAGGCTCTCGTTACATTGTCCAGTTGCCCAGGCTGGCCTCAAACTAGCCTCAAGTGATCCTCTGAAGTAGTTGGGACTACAGGTACGTACCAGTATGCCTGGCTTTTTACTATTTATTAAATTTTGGTAGCTGGGCACCAAGGGCTCATGCCTATAATCCTAGCTACTCAGAAAGGCAGAGATCAGAAGGATGGCAGATGGAAGCCAGCCTGGGCAAACAGTTCATGAGAGTTCTTGAAAAACCCTTCACAAAAATAGGGCTGAGAGAGTGGCTCAAGGTGTAGGTCCTGAGTTCAAGTACAGCACCACACACAAAAAAAAAGGGTAAAATTAAATAGCATAATTTTTTTTGTGTGTGTGAGTTTGAACTCAGGGCTTTGTGCTTGCAAAGCAGGCACTCAACTCCTTGAGTCACACCTCCAGTCCATTTGCTCTCATTATTTTAGAGATGGGGTCTTGGAAACTATTTGCCCAGGCTGGCCTTAAACCTTAATTCTCCCGATCTCAGCCTCCCAAGTAGCTAGGATTAATTACAGGCATGAACCACCAGTATCTGATAAAACAGCACAAAATTTATCACTTTAATTTTTTTTTTTGTAAAATCTCAGAATAGGGTATAGCAATATAGCCCAGGCTGGCCTAGAACTCTCTATGTAGTCCACACTGGCCTCAAACACCAATCTTCCTGCCTCTGGTCTCCTGAGTGCTGGGATTCCAGGAATGTATCATCATTTCCAGTTCTATTTAATCTTAACTATTAAAAGAAACTTGAATGTGCTTCTACACAATTTTTTTGCAGATTTAAATAAATTATATTTCAAACTTAATAGTTTTTCAATAGCTTACTTAAAAACAATCATAAATGTCTAGAAATGACAACACAAATAAGGACCTATTTTCTCAGAAGGCAAATAAATTGTCACCCTACTTTAGAAGATGAGAAAGAACAGAGAACCTAAGATTCCAGTTCTTAAAGTAAGCAGGGAGAGAAGGAAACAAACCAACCTTCCCCTTTCTGCTAACCCCAGGGCAGCACCTCCTCAACTCCCTGCCCATCCAGTCACAGCCAACATGCGCTCTGGCTACCAAGCAACAGGACAGGCATTACACCAGTCAAAAGCCCTCATTTTTCTTCCTGTCACATACTCTTTAAGGCTCAGTCAAATCAATGCTAGAGCAAACAGATGAACTACTGTTCTAAACTGTGTGACTTGATTCAAAGTTTGTACCCGTATGCACACAGAAGAAGGCAGGCTGGCCTGGCCAGAAATAAGCTCACAAGGTGAAAACCCTTCATCTACTGTGTTACCTGCAGTCTCTGCAGCTCAACAAGCAAGTGAAGATGCTGTTACTTGTTTCGTGACAGTCAAAATAAATGAAGCAAGGTCATTGGCACCAATGACCCAGCTGCAGGAAACTACCTAGGAAAAAACCAGGGATCGCTGAGTTCAACAATATGAGTAGGAACAAGAAGAGCTGCTGGGAAGAAAGGCCACAGAAACTGTCCACTTTGTCAGAGACAATTTCCCAAGAAAAACCCCAGGTGCTCTCTTAAGGGTTTCAAAAAAAATGTAAAACCACAAACTTTGTATCATCTTGCTTAACAATGTTACAATAAATGTAGGTCTTAATTAAACACAGGAGGCATAAGCTACTCAGGCAAAATTAGCAAAGTGAAAATGACACATTTATTTCATGCTCAACATTGAAACAACCCATGACAGAGGGGAAAGAACAGAAAGTGCCCTGGCAGGAATTCTCATCACCACCCTCATATCCAGCAGTGCAGGCCCAACTAACCTCCCACCCAGGATTCCTTAAAACACCACCTGTAAAATAGCAAGTACACACAGAGCTTCTTTGTGTGTATATATATATATATATATATATATATATATATATATATATATATATAATCTATTAACCAGAAATGGAAATAATCACTATAGCTAATCAAAACAAAAACAAAAACTTCTAAACCAGGGATGGTGGCACATACCTCTAATCCCAGCACACAAGAGACTGAGAAAGGGGCTGAGTTGTGGCTCAAGTGGCAGATTGTGGCCTAACAAACTCAAGATCCCAAACCCAAAGATGACAACTAAAATTACCCAAACTGTTATCATTCAAACAAAAATACTTGGTGTATCTGGGGGGTTTTCCTTGTCATTTTCCTAAGCTCTTTTCCGTTAACACTGGGATCACATTGAGTACATTGCTTTATAAAGTTCCTTTTCCACTTAGATTACATGAGCTTTCTTCCATCCATTCAGCTTTCCAGACACGAGCTTTTTTGTTTGGGTTGTTTGCAATACGGGGGCTGAACTCAGGGTCTCATACTTGCTAGGCAGGTGCTCTACCACTCCGCCAACTCCAGACACAAGTTTTAATAACTGCATAGTTTCACCTTCATGAGGTTTAACCAATTCTCCATTGCTAAGAGAGATGATTTTCTTATTTTTGCTTCTACACATAATTGTATAGTATGTATACCTACATGTAAATATTTCTGCATAATCTGATAAAATCTTTTTTTTTTTTTTTCAGTACTAGGGTTTGAACTCAGGGCCTATACCTTGAGCCACTCCACCTGTACTTTTTGTGATTGGTGTTTTTCAAGATAGGATCTTGTGAACTATTTGCCTGGGCTGGCTTTGAACCTAGATCCTCCTGATCTCTGCCTCCTGAGTGGCTAGGATTACAGGCATGAGCCACTGGCACCTGGCTCTGATGAGCTCTTTTAAAACTGCGTTTTCTGAATCAAAGGGTATTAACAGAGCCAGCATGGTGATATGTCTGTAGTCCCAGCTACTAGACAGGCTGAGGCAGTGTTACTGGAATCCTAGGCTAGAGGTCCCAGAAATCAAAGGGACAGTAATGTGGAAAGGCAGGAAAGGAGCTTACTTTTCAGAACGGTCGTACTGGGAAGACAGAGGAGATGGAGCTGTGTCAGGGCACGGACACAGCTTTAGATCTGCATAGGAAGAACTGGGAAGGGAGTGGGCATGTGTCCTGAAGCAGTCTTGGTCAAGCTGTGGTCTGGCAGATCACTGCCTTAGTCCTGGTTCTGCAAGGCGCTCTGGAGAAACCCTATCACTTAAGGGGACAACCTGGTCCCCATGGGAAGACTGCTCCTGCCCGAGGTCCCTCAGTAATGTCATGGGGTTTGCTCCCACTTAGGGGTGATCTCATCACAGGGTGGTCTGTCTGTAAGGCATCCCTATTCCTGGACTCCAAGGTGACTGCAAGTTTAGGACAATGGCTGGAGACTTCTGGGCATCTTTTTAGGGATCTGAGCAGGATGTTGTAAAGGCTGACAATAAATTACCTATAGTTAGTTACTCTTATCTCTGTGCCTTCTGCCCTGAGGAGGACGAGATAGGTTAGGTTGAGGGCGAATCACCTTGGGTCATCAGTTTTTACAGACTCTGTAAGTGATTAACTGCTGACCTGCAGAGCTAGGCAGGAATCTGACCCAAAGCAAAGGAGACAGATGCAGAGATGACCGGCATTTCGTTGCTTTTTGGAGGCAAAGTCTCACTATGTAGCCAAGGCTAGCCTCAAACTCAAGATCTTCCTGCCTCAACCTCTGAAGTGGTGGGATTATTGACCTGTGCCACCATGCCTGGCTTTGTCTTGTACCTTGATTGGCTTGTCAGTGAAAACCTAATAAATCAAAATAATAATTCAAAATATAAATCAAAATATAATTTTTTTTTTGGGTGGGACTGGGGTTTGAACTCCAGAATTTATGCTTTTTCAAAGCAGGTGCTTGCCAAACAGCTGCTCTACCACTTGAGCCACACCTCCAGTTCATTTTGCTCTGGGTATTTTGGAGATAGAGGTCTCATGACAAAATATAATTATTCAAAACATTAAATTGCTAGCCAGGCACCAGTGGCTCACACCTGTAATCCTAGCTACTCAGGAGGCAGAGATCAGGAGGATCAGGGTTCGAATCTAGCCCCGGCAAATAGTTCAAGAGACCCTATCTTGGAAAAACCCATCACAAAAATGGGCAGGTGGAATGGCTCAGTTGCAGGCCCTGAGTTCAAACCCCAGTACTGAAAAAAAAAATTGCTAATGAGGACAAGTAAGAAATTTTAATACTCAGGCAACCAGTTTAAGCCTACAGAGAACTAACAAATAATATGAAATAATACTTAACAATTATTGTAAAGCTGAGTATGGTACACATACAAGCATAATTTTTTAATCCAAGGACTCAGG